ACAAGAATATGACTCACGAGAGAGGAAAATCGGATGGGGCTCCATTTACAACACCTTGAGACCTACTATAAATAAAATTACCCACATGAAATTTGAATCTCCAAAAAATTCAGATGAGTATTTTAAAAAGTATTTCAAGGCTTTGGAGGAGGAAATAACTGTTGGCCTTCGAAATTTGGTGGAGAAGTAAGAGGGGTGAGGCCCGCTTATACTAGTGAAAAATCGTTTCCTTTGGTCTCTCCTTCCCTAACGTTGTCTTCTCATACAGGGGGGATTTCCCCAATAGTACATTTATGTTTCTATGTGTGGAAGTGTGCAAACATGTATGTATATATGTATGTGTCCGTGCGCGGGCCAACCTGCGTGGAGTTGGATGATAAAATTAATGCACATAGCCTACATGTCTAGGGTGCCGTGTATAGTTACCAGGTTCCCGTATTTTCCCCCTTTTTCACTCCTTGGGCTTTTCTTTTTTCTGCTTTTCTCACTTCTTCTCTTTACCCCTGTGCGCGGTTTACCCCCGTAGCCACGACACACCCGTTAGAGCAAAATAAAAAAAATAAAAAAGATGGGGAAAGTAACAAAGGTGTATGTGTGACCAGCACGACGAGCATGAAAGATAGATGTACCTCCCTATGCACACCCTGATTTTTTAAAAAGAGTTTTGCAACATTATTGTAACATTTTATTTTCTATAATTTTTTTTTTAAAACGATGAGTCTTCAATTTTTTCCCCCTTTTTACCCCTTTTTTTTTTTTTTTTTTTAATGCCACTTTTTATTTCTATTTGTTTATTCTAATAAGTGCGCACAACATACATACTTCTCCACATCGAATACAAACATATTACTCCAGTTCGTATGTATTCTATGTGCACATACTGTGTATATATACGTATGCGAGTTTAAAATTTTCCTTGAATTTTTTTTTCCTATCCAATTTGCTTTCCTTAACCTCGGTGAGAGGTCCGTCCCATAAGACACACACGGGGGTGACTCCCTCTTTAATAAATCCGATTGTGCGCCACGCGCGATAAATGATCAGACCGTTCTCTTGAGAAGCAGAGGGTGTAGATATGTGATTCAATCTTTCTCAATAAATGTCTAAGAATTGTATAATGTACAAGAACCCTCGGGGGCTGCAATAAAGGAAAGTGCCCAGGGGGGTGAGAAACAATCAAGGGGTGTAACTACCACACCACGCCATATAACCATTTCACTGAATGTATTTATTAGCTCTAGTTTTTTTTCTTTTTTAAAATGTATTTACACCTTGGGATAGACAATCCCGCGGTGCAAAATATTTCCCATTGTGATTCTTCTCCCCCCTTAAGACAAAACATATCAAGGAGAAATTATACACACACGTGAGGGCGCACAGTTTGAGGCATCCGAATTGAGGAGGAACACCCCACTTGTAAACCACTTAACCATTTGTTAACACAGCCAAATGGTTTTAAAAAAAAAAGAAAAAAAGTAAAAAAAAAAAAAAAAAAAAAAATGTATTATTCAGAATTATTCTGTAAAAAGGGGGCAAAAAGAAAAATTGCACTTTCACTTACCGATTTGAAAACATAAACGCTATTGATTTTTTTTTTTTATGCAAGTTCTTTTTTTTTAACATATATGGTTAAGAGTTATCACATTGTTTGAAAAGAAAGGTGCAGAAACAACGTTCACAATGATCCAGCAAAACGATCGAGCAAAAAGAACGAACAAAAAGAACAAGCAGAGTGATCGGACAAAAACAACGTGCAAAGAAATCACTTGACATGGCTGCCCTCGATAACACGCTGGTATTCTCTGCAGATGCGTAGAAAGACATATCCCTCGAACGGTAGTACCCATTTCGTAAAGGAAGAGGAGGAAGACGAAAAAAGCGGCGGGGGGGGCTCATTATCAGTGCACATGAAAGGCGTACATTCCATCAGTTCCCCTTTCGATGAATGCATTTTATTCACTTTCCCTCTTTTTTCGCCCTTCTCGTGATGGAAACCGCTGCACGTTTTAATCTCCTAAAAGTGGAAGGAAAAGGAAATAAACGAGAAAACACACAAGTACACAAATGAGTGATCAAATAGACGAGTAAAGGGTCTCCTGGCGACCTCATTTCATTTTCGAAAAATGCATAGCGACGGTTCCTCTCACCCAGGAACAGATCTACTTCTTCCCATTTTTAAAGATTTTCCCTGAATATTCTTTTTCTAGTTGTGAGACGAAGAAACGACGTGGATGCATTTTTTTTTTCTTTTTGACACAAAAGTGTATGCTAAAAGTGGCAGTGATGTAACTTGATAATTTTTAATTTTTTTTTTCTTTTTTTAACCGTTTTGGTACACCATCATGCGGTTTAGCCTTTTCTACTATTTTAACATTTAATCTGGCATCACTCCAGAATGAAGAAGAGAGCACACCTTAAGGAAGCGCAAACATAACAGTAGCACATAAAGAGGCCACGCGTGTGTTTGCACGTATATACAGAACAAGTAGGGTCCCTTCTGTCGGCATGTACCTTTTGAAAAGGGTACATATAAGTGTGTACAGAAACGGCACGGGGAAGTGAAGAAGATAGAACAAGGAAGTAGAACAAAAAGAAAGAGGATAGGTAACCAGTCGGCGAGATAGCCCACCGAACGGGGAAAATGCCCTTGAATGTTTAGCTCCCTGTGAGGTAATTCTGCCAAGTTGACGAAGCTCCCCAAAAACGTCAATGCTCCGCGCGATCTCGTGAAGCAGGCGAATTGGAAGATTCTGCCCTCTACAGTGTGTATATAGGTATACATATGAGTATTTTTTTTTTTTTTTTTGGACGTCAGAACAGCGCACGGTTAAACAAACACAGGCGCAATAGCAATACTTTCACTCGGGCGAGCAAGGGGAGGCCGTCAAGAAAACAGACACACGCATACATACACGCACAAAGAAGAATGCACATGATAACGTCCCGAACACTGCTAACCATAAGCATAATAGTGATAAAAATAATTCTGTGGAACTCGGAAGCATGCAAAAGTTTCATTTTGAAAGGAAAGGAAACAGCAGTGAGCGGGCTGCTACATAGAGGAGTGAACAAAAACAACAGGAGGAGGTTAACGAAAGAACCATATCAGAGCGAGGAAGTAAATGAACAAATTATGACATCATCTGAAAATGATCATTACATAAAAAAGAAATTAAAAGAATTCGAAAAATATAGAATAGCAACATACAGCTCTCAATACACTTTTTTTTTTCCAGGACAAGGAGAGCAGTATATATCGATGGGCTTAAATACATACAACACGTGTAAAAATGCCAAAGAAATGTATGACCGTGCGAGTACCGTTCTGGGCTACGATTTAATGGATGTCATTAAAAATGGCCCAATAGAAAAATTAAAAGATTCAGAAATCTCACAGCCATCCATTTATACTGTTTCCATTGCTGCCTACGAAAAATTGAAACAGGAAAATCAAGACGCAGTTATGAAGCTAAATTTATGTATGGGATACTCATTAGGTGAATATTCTGCCTTAACATGTTCAGAAGCTTTGCCCTTTGAGGAAGGCGTATTTTTAACCAGGGAAAGAGGAAAGGCAATGCAGAAGTGTGCCAAGTTATACAAAATGACCACCATTGCAATTGTTGGGCTAACCCTAGATCGTATTCACAACCTGATAGAAGAGGTCAATAAAGAAATGAATGAGGACATTTTTATTGTCAGTTATATGACTCCAAAAAAATTCGGTCTATGTGGAAAACCCGAAAGTATGCAATATCTGAACAAATTAGCAAAGGAAAAATATAAAGCCATTTTTACTAAAGAGTTACAAATTTCGGGGGGGTTCCACTCGTCCTACATGTTCCCAGCTAGGAAGGCTTTAGAAAATGCCTTAAAGCAGATCACCTTCAGAAAGCTAAAGATTCCAGTCATCTCAAATGTCGATGGCTGTGCTTATGATGACCCACAGATAATCAAACAGCTTCTACTTCTGCAGTTGACTAGCCCCATTAGAATAAATGCCTGCCTAGAGAATGTGTTAAAACATGGGTACGAGACTGGCTATGAGTTGGGGCCCGGAACGATAAACTCCAACCTTTTGAAGGACGTGTCGAAGAAGCAGAAGGCGGCGACGCCGTATATTTAGTGGGGTATATGCTTGTGTGTGACTGTATGCCCATGCTTGTTCATGTGTGTCTTCCCCTCACGTAGCCTTCCTTGGGTAGACTTCTGTGCGTAGCCTTCCTCGTGTTACTCCTGCACCAAATTAACCCCCCCCCAACAAAATGCGCACCACCTGCAATTTCCCCCCCGCACAACGATAACCCTATTCTGAGCTGACCAGAAAGAGAAGAGTGAGTGGCCGCTGAACTACGTAGCATCCTCTTCGGTGCCATAAAATCGTTTTTTTTTCCCATCAAGATGTGAAGCTCCTTTGCCGGGTGTCGCCTATTAACAGGCAAGACAGTCACTGCGCGTCTGGGCAAAGGTGCACCTGTGCAGATATACGAACGTTCATAAAGCGACGCAGAAATGCTTTGCCGTTTTTCTCTTTCATTTTGGCAACTCTGCGATTTTAAAAAGGTACACATTAAAGAAGCGTAATTCTGAAGGAGGCTTAAGTCTGCAGATTTAACAAAAGGATAACATAACATAACGTAACATTGACGCCTACGTGTAGTGGGTATATACTTTTCCCTAGTCGGAAGCTTACACGAGCACCGCTAAAAAAGGAGCATTAACACTTACATGCATGAATGATTATACAAAAAAAAAAATTGAAAATTTTCGAATACATATCATACACAAATTTTACGTGTTCGTAAAAACTAAAACATTCTTATTTTATCAAACAAAAGGGAAAGACGCCTCGAAACGAAAAAAGGGGAGGCTGCTCATCTCCACGTATGTCCGGTGTACCGCTTATACACACACAAAAAAAAAGGAAAAAAAAAGTACACAACATGTGCACACAGTGTCTCTCTGTAGTGACAGCCATCCCAACTTAAAAGACCCCCCTTTCACCTCTTCGTAATGAAGACACGGTGACGATCTGCTATGAAATGATCTGAATAACATCCATCATAAATATTATCCGTTATGGTGTTTTCCAAATTTTTATTGCCAACTTTGTTCAGCAAAAAATGGCTCACAGTATTTTTGCCCACGGGATAGTCCATCCCATTTCCATCCTTTTCAGAAAGATTTTTACAAAAAAAATTGCCCTTTTGGAGAAATTTAATTTGTGCCACTTTGTTGTCACTTCTGCCTATGTTACTTCCCCCCTTGGTGCTAGCGTCATCCACTCCATTCTGTCCTTTATCATTGTAACTGCAGTTATTGGCGGGGGTTTCTCTATAGCTGAGAAACGAACCTGGCCTGGGCATGGCACAACTGCTCTTTAAACCCTTTTGCAGTTGGCAATATCTTTTCTTTTCACCCAATATGTTATCAAATTTCAAGTTGTCCACAAATGATAGTAATGTGTCCCTCTTTCCAGAGATGTCTTTTTTCTCTATCGACTTGAGGAAGCTATTGTACTTTTTTAGGTTACGTGTAAATTGTTCGTTTGGGTGGAGGTTGTTCAATTTTTCGTTCGTCCCATTTTCCTCGCTGGCATTTTTGTACTTACTTAAGAGGTTACACAGAAGCTCATGAACGTTTTGCTTACATGATCTCACCTCTGGTTTCTCAAAATTTATATCGTCATTTTTGACGCCATACGTTTGTTTAACCATTTCGGTGTGTCCCCTTCTGAGCGAGTTGCCTCCACTTTCAAATAGGTCTCCATGAAGCTTGTCAACCCTGTCAAGCAGTCCCCTCTCGTCGCACCTCCTCTTCAGTTGATCTTGCTCATAATTATTCATCTGGTTGTTCTTATGAAAAAGATAGTTACCATTTGGCGAGGAACCCACGGGAATGTCATCTCTCTCCGCCTCAACACTATGTGGCAGGGATGAGAATATGGATGCTTTTCTCCCTTCCATTTTGTTTCCCATTTCTTGCTCGAAAAAAGTAGCATACGATTCATGTATTTCCTTCTTTTCATTATTCACAAACTGCACCTTTTCGAATATACGATTTATTATCTCTGAGTTGTACTTTTCTTTTTTTATTCCAGTTGGATGCTCTCCTGGGTCTTTCTCTTTCTCCCCATCGTTGTCACCTAAGGCGTTACTCCTAAGAGGACAGCAGTGGCCTAATTCTTCCGATTTACGAACATCGTATTGATTTTTGCTCCCCCCGGAGCTACGCCTTTTTCTTCTGGTTAACCACGTCCTTACACTGCGCTGTATCAAAATTATGCACTTTAAAAATTGGTCGTAACTTATGTAGTAGTTGTACACAACTTCTGCGTTGTTCTGGCGGTTGAGGCACAGAGTGGTTGCCTGTTCCTTGGAAACTTCCTCGCAGCTCCTTCCTTGCGCCCTCTTATTTTCACCCTTGTTTTCCCTCTTGTTTTCCCTGCTGCTTGCCAATTCTTCCCTTCTTCCCTGTTCCCTCCTTCCCCCATTCACCACTTTAACCTTCTCAACACTTTTCAGCGACCCCTCATTTATTACTAACGAATATCCCACCTTCTTCTGCCTCCTCGGTGACCTTTCGAGGCCCCCGTTTGAGAACTTCCCCCTCGCGTGGAAGTAACCCTTTTTGCCCATCACGTGGTAGATACTTCCTAACGCACTCTTGTTAAGGATTATTTTCTTTGGAGTAGCACACGTTGGGCATGTTTCACACAAGCCATCATAAGCAACGCTGCGTATACGTCGAAAGGTGCCATCATTCGGCGCTTTCTTCTTCAAGTGTCTCCGCTCCATAGAGACCATTTCGCGATTGTCCTCCCCGATGTATATTGCCTCGTCATGAATTGATAAGTTGATTATTCTGTTCAGGTAGGAAGTCATTCTCTTCTTCTTTATGTTGAGAAGGCACTCCTGAGCTTGACTTATACTACTCATGGCAATTTCCATGCACCTCTGTTTTTGGTGAATCTCTTTTATTCGAAACTCTTCATTAATGTCACTAATTATTTTTTCGATCATGTCAGCTTCGCTTGAAAAAGCAGAATTGGTGTAATTTACACACGCTTTAACATGTCCAGTTTTTACACTTTCTCCGTTATTCTGGGCGGTATTTCTCCCTACGTTCTGTTCACACCGATGTGTGTCTGGTCTGGCATTTTCTTGGGGAGGCCCATTGTGAGTCGTCTCATGAGTTACATTATTATTTGTACTAATCTGTGATTCCTTTTGGGGGATGCTGTAATTCTGTTTCGATGCCCCGTTGGAGGTTAAATTGGACGTTACATTGGACACCCTGTTCTCCCCACAAGGAGGGGACCAGTCGTGACGTGCTTCCACCTCCGGATCATCATAAATGGGACGTCTACTCGAGCAAGCACTCTCCTTCAACTTAACCATTTCGTCTTTGATCCTTTTAATCTCCTTTTTCAGCCTTTTCACTTGATTTTTTTTTTTTACATTTTTGTTATTATGTGCTGTATTATAAATTGTGACATCTGCCCCCTTTGGAAAATCTTCACTCTTACTGCGAACATCACAAGTGGGTTTCTTTGTCCCATCCTCCCTTCTATCCTTGTTGTTTAATTCTAGGGAAGTCTTCTTTGTGTACTGTCCAATGTACTCCCCTTCAGGAGAATACATATCACTTCTGTTTATGACGTAACCGCCCATGTTATTTGGGGTAGTAGCTCCCCCGTGCATGAAACTTTTCTGTTTCTTCGTTTGGCTCTCTCTCGAAACTTCCCAGTTAATATTCACTCCCTGGGGAAAGGAACCCTGAATGTTGTTCCCCATGTTTTCACCAACCAGTTCATGGCTTCCACAATTTAGTAACACGTTTTTTTCAATATAGCTAATCACTTCGCACATTTTGTAGTACTTACCCTTATCGTGTAATCTGATTAACGTATCGTCCTCAAAATACTCATTTATGATCCAAGTAAAAATGGTGTTGCTGTTGAACGGCCCCTGTTCCTTCCCGTTGTCGTCTATGTACACCCAGTATAAAACTCTCCTCACGTTAAGCAGTTCATTAAACTCGTTAATTATATGCTTGTCTTGTGACAATCCGCTTTGTTCTTTTGGACCATGTTCAATCTTGTCGTCCAGTTGTGGTTGACCTGACTCTGTGGGAAATTCACTTGGAAAGAATTTCTGCAAATGGACGTCTTTCAAATAATTACCCGTTTTTATTTCACTTAATGTATGATTATATATGATTCCATTTTTTAAATACACTTTTATTTTCCCCTTTAGTTTATCATTTTCGAAAAGGATACAATAGTTCTTATCGTAGAGTCTTCTGTTCTTCATGTTCAATTCGCTTCGGTGCAGGTAATCGACTTTGTCTTTGTTCAGGTCTTTACGCAGCACGTACAGGGTGAGTCCCTCCTACGCATGGGGGAAAAAAAAAAAGGAAGACAACCGTGAAGGGAGTGATACACACTGATAGGAAGTTATTATCTTTTACGATTAACCCCTGGGGGAAGGGGAAATCACAGGCTGCACATCATCTAGGGAAAGGAATGCTCCCTGGGTGAGGGAAGGACCATTCCCCCTTCGCACCCCCCCAAGGTGCAGCTGCCCCCATTTTTCGCGTCACATTTACTCACGTCCCTCTCCAGCATGTTAAACGCGTGTGAAATGTTGACTTCGTAAGACATGATGCATATTTCATTTTGTCCCTTCTTCACGCACATGTACCATGGCGTTTCGTAAAAGAGTCCATTCGGCGTTTCGTTCTTCAGAACACGCTCCGCGCCATAGTGGCGGCCATTTGCGTCAATACTTGGCTGACCGTTTGACGAACTGTTTGTCCAACCGTTTGCCCCACTGGTTGACCCATTGCCTGCCCCACTGCTTCTCCGGCTGCTTGAATCTCCCCTCGCGTCGCCACTCTCCACTTTAATGTGCAGGCAGTACACCACATTTTCTTCCTCCTCGTCGTCCTCCCTCACAGTTGTGTCCCTCGTGGCCAGCTCCGCTTCAATACTGTGGATGTACAAGTTGATATCCATCGTGTTGTGTGATCAGGGCTGTGGTATTCGCAAGATGAGCAAGCGATGTATATGCATATCCGTACATACACCCCCCCGCATATGTACGCGTTTACACATTTTGAGGCATACGTCTACGCAAGTGTGTACATATGGACATTACTTTTTTACCAAATTGCCCTCTTTGCTTCAGCGAATTACACATTGTGCTAGCCAGCATGTCGCTCGCCAACAGACCTTTTCACATAACAGGGAAATACACACATGGGCATTGGCGAAAATGGGGGAATTTTTATTCGTTGTAGGAAAAAATGTTTAGAGGTGCTAAAGTACGGAAGTATGCGCTCTGTTCTTGGCAGCTCAGGTGGGATGATTTCCCTTGCCCACGCAAAACGGAAAATTGTGTACGTCACAAAAGGCATGTGCGCAGATCGCGCTGTTCTCTCTCTGTTGGCATCTTTTAACTGGCGCAAAAGTGTGAAAAAAAATAAAGTAAAATAAAAAAGTAAGAAAGTAAAGAAGCAAAATAAACGGATAAATAAAACATTTCAGAATGTTCCCCAGTGAGCGCGCATGTTCCGCTTCGCAGTGTTCGTTAAAGCACGAAAAGGGGGGTCGTCCAAGGGGGGTCATATATCTTCGCCTCGCTTTGAATTGCTTTTCACCGTCGCGCAGCCCTTTCTGCTCCACTTGAAATGTTTCACCACTTTTTTTAAGAACTTCCCCCATCTGCAAAAGGCGCTCCAACAGCTACTCCAGCCGCTTCACCCACATGATGACTAAGGGGGCGTACTTTCACCCCTATGGATTGCTGACGCGTGAAGCTTCTTCTAGGTCCAGCATTTTTAACAAAATGACCATCATGCATAAGGATACATAAGTGCACCTGTGCGTACGTATGAGTGCTCATTTTAGTGTACACGCCTGTAGGTCCCTTTGCTAGTAGCGTCTCCGCATAGCCAAAAAGGGAACTAGCAAGGGGAATAATTTGGCTCTTCTTTTTGGGTTGCCACCTTTAATAAGCGAGTTGTAGTGCCGCGTCCTGTCAGCTGTATCACCATGTTGTTCCCAGGCAAAACACAGATCCAACTTGTTTCCCCCCCAAACGCATGTCACGAGCACTGCGCCCCATGGGGAAAATTCTCCACTGCGTTAGTCACTCATGTAGGAGACACGACCCGACAAGTGGGGTAACGCTTTACCTCCTCTCAAAGAAACAAATCAGCTACACACAACAAATCAGCAGAAACATTAACTCGAAGAATGCATATCTGTACGATTTATACAGATCTTTGGAGAACTGCCAAAATGCAAGTAGCCTATACAAGCTGAGCTGCAAAATAAGGACGTGCCAGATATATGACCTCTACATATGGAGATTAATAGAACAGAAGTTTTACAAATTTCATAAAGAGCTAACACCCAGAGAAATTTCGTCTATCATTAATCATTTTAAACAAATAAAAATTAATGACAGTAAAATATACGAGCGATGTGTTGATATAATTCTTCCAATCATAGGTTCCTATTCGTTACAAGATTTGTCTGTCCTCTGTTTGTCACTGACTTACTTTAATAAAGTGAACTCATCCATTATGGACACAGTAGCAGATGCTATAGTCAAATTGTATGAGAGCGAAAAGACCAAAATGCACCAACTGAGTAAAAAAGAGCTTCAACAGATTTTCATTTCCTACGTACATATAATTGGAGCCTATAGCAAAGTAGGCCATAAACACATCGAATTATTTAAAAGAGCTTCTGTGTATATTCATTTAGCACTTACTGCCGATATCTACATTCCTTCCAAGATCTTTATCAAGATAGTCACTTCCTATTGGACGTAAGTGCATCTCCTGGTTGAGAATCCACCCACATTGCATGCACAATGGACTATGTTGTTAAAAAAAGAAAAAAAGAAAAAAAAAAAGTGTGTGGGGGGAAATGCCAACAGGAGTGGCAGTACACATATACATTTATGCTGCCTAAACGTATGTTTCGGCTTGGATTTCCATAGGGAGGATTATCCCTGAGCCGATCAACATAGCTTTGGAGATGCTGTATAATATGCCTGCTTGCACCTGTATAACTCGTATATTTGATGCCCTTCCCCTGTCCTTCAGCGTCAAAATAAAGCACAGCAAAATATTCGATCTAATAGCCAAGCAAATACCTACGGTCAAAATTACGGATGAGGAATTGAAGGTTGGAAGTCGATTTTTGATCCTCAGTACCTCCGCGGTTGTCATAGATGGGGAAAACACGCTTATTTGGCTCCAATCATTTGCTCCCGTTATTCTGCTCCCGTTATATTGCTCCCATCATTTTCCTCCCATCATTTCGTTGCGTACATTATTTTTATTTTCCCCCTTCTCAGAGCATAAAGCGGAGCTTCGACCAATTGGGCTACTCCTGTGAAACCCTAGACAAGTACATCCAGTACAGGCTGTCCTAGCTTTCCACTCCTCTGCGTCGACGTATTTTCTCGATCCCACCGATTGGCATTTTACCTTGGCGACGTAGTGAACTCGGTTTTCTTCTGCCCTCCGAAGGGAAACGCGCAGGGATGGGCAAGTCAATCCAGGTAGCAGGATTCACCTCTTGAAATGATAATCACCTCCTGAAATTCCAATCGGCCCATCACAAACTGCGAACCCGGCGAATCAAAAACTGGACAACGTCCCCCAAGTACGCAGCGTTGTGGTTGTACGTGTTGAAGAAGTTGCTCTCGAGGAAGATCATTTCGTTTGTGGCGTCAACCCGCTCCTCCCCCAAAATGTCCGTAACTTTTTTCCTTTCCCGCGCAGACAGGGATAAATCCCTAATGTAGGAACTGAAAAAGCAAATGTTATTCTCCTCTTGGTCCACAATAGAAGACCCATGCCATATGACCGAATATTGAAAGGAGTGAGGAAAACTAAATCTGTCATGGTGCATCGTTCTTGGCAAGGTGGCTTCATGTTGTAATTTTGTTAGCGGAGTTACAAATGTGCTTGGGTTTTTTTTCTTCTCTTTTATATTTTCCTGATCGTGAGTTAGATTTAACAATTTACTTATTCGATATTTATTTCTGAATTTAAAATGTCTCCTCGTTCTTTCCTTCCCAACACAGACTTTCATAATTTCCTTTTTAATATTTTTGCTAATAACCGTTGGAGGTTCGCACACCGTTGTCCTATCCTCCAACCTCACAGGGGGAATTTTCAATTTTGCTTTCTTCTGCTCATCATTTAAGTTTGGTCTCTCTCTTTTTTTCCGATTCTTCTTCCCTCTTATTTGGGTAAACATGTAGTACCTCTGGTAAGTCTCTACATTTTTATATTTCAACTCATTGCTCAGGCTAAGGTGGTGAAAATATTTTTCAGTCCACCTAAGGGTGAGGAACACTTTGGGCTTCACCAGATCCCATTTCTTCACAATACTTCCCATTATTACATACCTATCTGAACTGCTTCTCTGGCTGTTTTTTTTTCTTCTTTTGAATCTTTACCTGCCCCGCTCTAGAAATTCTGTTCACGCGAAGTACCATATCAACATGATTTTTCGATGCTCCTCTGTTTGTGCGTAAATGATGTGATTCCTGACCATGGGGAAATCTCAACCGGAGCTAGGGACATACTATGGTGGGAAAAAGAAGAAAAAAGAACTGACCATTTCTACGGCTATTAAATCAGTGTAACAATAGTGTCACTTAGAGGTAGATTTCCTCGAAAAGGCTGCGTACACGTGTGAATGTGCCCCAGAATGTTCTTGCGCCAAGGGGTGCCGATTCCACAATATATATTTGTGCACGAAATTAGGGGCACACAAAAAGATTGGGCCAGGACCACCGGGGGCAGAGCAGCATAATTCGAGAGGGATAGAAGCATAAAGAAACATGTATTCTCTTTTCTATTCCTTTCCTTTCCTTCCCTGTTTTTTTACTTCTCCTTGCATTTTCATATTTTTTACAAAATCTACATGGTGTGAAGATGCACAACCGGGGCGCAACTTATGCAGGGGCTAAACCGTTACGTAGTAGTAGCGAACCTCCAGAGTGGCCCTTTACCGTGGGAGGATAACCGGTTTGTGTGGATAGTGACAGTGGAGAAGCGTTATTTTTTTTCTTCTCTTTCTATTCATTTGTAAAGTTTATTTTCTTGCTTTTTTTGGCTCCCTCCAGTGGAGTCACTTCCTCCTCATCGCCGTCCATTTCAACACCCCTCCTCCCTGGAACAATGGCCTAGCTAGAAAATGATAAATTAGAAGGATGATAACCCTCTGTTGTAAGCTCCTATATAAAGGGAAATTCATCCCCGTGGGTCGGAGAGTATTCAGGGAAAAACTGATAAGTGGGAGGAAACAAAAATCTCCCATCATTCTGCTGCCGCCGTACATATCCATACACGAGCTTAGGTTAATGCTCAATATAAACTACGATACTTGTTTCAAAGCGGCAAATGTGTACAAGAGTGGAAACACGTATAAGTGGAAGGACCCAGAAGATAGGACCTTCCAAAGTGTAAACAAAAGGAACGTAATTATCCCCTACAGCACTGCTGCTTATGTGAGTAAAATTTTTAAATTTAAGCCGAGACTCATCCAGGTGGAATTATTTTGCGAAGAGGAAGAGAAAAGCAGTGGGACGCTCCAGGATGTGTACAGGAAGGTGTACTTGGCGGAGGAGTACCATGCCAATGTTTTGAGGCTTCGAGGGGCATTCACAAACGATGCAAAGGATGCGCCCGACGAAACTTCCCCCCTTGTGGTAGCCAACCCAAATGAACCCCGAAGCCAGAGCAGCTGTGATGATGCCCCCATGTTACTGCCCAACGCACAGTGGAGCTGTGATGACCCCCCGTGTTTGCCCCCCAACGAGCGAAGTGCCCCACTGGACGATAAAAAAAAAAACTACTACACCGTTGTGTCTGTGATAGGGCACATCAACCATGGGAAAACCACCATGCTGGACAAGATGACGAACAACAACTTGGCGTTAAGTGAAGCGGGCTGTATCACGCAAAATATAAAACCTATACATTTCGAACGTGGGCCTTTTAAATTCACCTTTGTCGACACCCCAGGACATAAGGTTTTTCAAATCTTCAGAGGAAGGGCAGCTTTCCTCTCAGACATATTAATCATATTAATTTCCCTAGAAGTAGGCGCAGAGATACAAACGGAGGAAGCAATTAAGTACGCAGACAAATTTGGCATCCCAGTCATTTTTGTTCTAAACAAAGCAGACCTGTATGGAGAAAATGAGTCCATAGTAAAAGCCGAGTTAAGAAAGCAATGCACAAATATGTATGATGATGGAAATTTAAAGCATAATTTTTCAAAAGAAATTGAAAACGCGATTGCTATATCGTCGCTGACGGGGTACAATTTGGACAAGCTAATCAACAGACTGTTTTTTATTTCTCATTATATTGACTTGCCGTATCACAGTGTGAACAGGTTCTACAACACTTGTGAAGCCATACGGGATGCTGACTTAGCTGTTGGGAACTCCCTCGGGGGAGGGAACTCGCGTGATAATACCACTAATGAGAACATCCCTGATGGGAACACACCTCGTCATAATGTCCCCCTTGAGGAGAAAACTGAGCCAAGCATGAAGAACACAGATAAAGCAAAGGAAAGGAGAAAATCAGATCTGAACCTACTGCAAAAGTATATTAGAAAATCAGACTGCCTACTAGCCATAGATAAGAACCCAGTGGGCATGGGCATGGTGATAGACATAAGCAAAGACTCCAGCAAGGGAACAATTCTTCATGTCATTGTCCGAAACGGATTTTTCATCGAAGGCAGTTATTTTATATGCGGTTCTGCATTTGGGAAAATTCAGAAAATGTATAAGTTTAATAGTAACTTTAAGGAAAGCTGCAGCTATGCCGCGATAGGGATGGCTGTACTAATCAGTGGAATGAAGAAGCACGGAAACGCAACAACGGATGATTTAATCTTTACCCTCCCACAGAGTAACGCTTTTAGGTTATGTCAATATAGACTCATGGTCGAAAAGTTAAGCACTCTACAAGTAACTGGAAAAGAAATCAAAGTGTCCTGGGAAAATGACATGAAGAAAAATGAATTCCATGCGGAAGATATTTATCAAAATCGACTCGCGATGTCGGATAAAAGAAAAGCCATCGAAGAGTTCGGCATAGAAAAGGAAAACATATTCGAAGATGTCTCTGTGCAGGAATTTCACAAAAGTAACACGCAAAGGAAGAAGGAAGAAGAATCTGTAGTAATCCAATTGGAGGAAGAAAACAAATATGAAGACCAATCAAGAGTTAAAAAAAATAAAATACAATCTATCCTCTCGCAGGATGATTCAAATGATAGCATTTTAGTACCTGAAGAAAACACCTTTTCCTTTTTTGAAAGCCACAACGGGTGTGAACAGGTGGACGAGTTAGTCAGTTCCTACCGGGGAGGGGGCAGTCACCAAGAGAAGGACCAGCCAAACATCCCAAGCGATGCACCAAATATAAATCCCGTGACACATGACCAATGGGAAGCAGCCAAAGATATCACAAACAAAGCAAATAATCATGTTCCAAGCAGACCTTATAACACGGAAAGTGCTACACTGTATGAGTGTGCGAAAGGGGGGAAAAAGGACGCACACGAGGGGAAAGAAAAGACACACCTCGTGTTGGGAAAAGCCCCTCCTGGAAGAGGAAGGAAGAGCAGACACACCCATAAATCCAGCGCAACGAATGGGCAATCTTCTCAAGAAGCGGCGGATTCTCATAGCCAAACGTACACCGATGAGAAGAATCTCAACGAGCCATGGTACTACGAAGAAAGCGAAGAGACGTGGGCGAAAAAAATCCTGCAAAGAAACAATGAGCTTATGGAAACGTGGAGAAACAAAACGAGGCAAAGGGAGATCGAAAAAGAGAGACAAATTTTTTACGAAAAACAAATGATTTTGAAAAATGAAATTCTAAGGAGAAAACTCCTGGGCGAAGAAAAACTAACTGAAGAGGAGATTAATGCATATCTCTATGATGAAGAAAAGAGCAACGCAAATAATTCCCAAGCATCAAGTAGCCCTGAGCATATAGAACTGCCCCCAAAAAATTGCCCAGTTATACCAATCATAATCAGAACCAACTATGTTGGAATGTTCGACATATTTCTAGACGAATTTGAAAATCTCCAAAAAGTGTATAATGTTAAAATATCCGTCGTTCATGGTGGAATAGGTCCCATAACCCCAAACGACGTTGTGCATGCAGAAGTAGAAAGTAATTTTGGCTATTGTTGCATTTACGCTTTTCAAGTCAAAGTGTTACCCGACTCGGTGAAGCAATCAGTTCTCTCCAACATTGTGATAAAACAGTTCGACGTTTTCACCGACCTAATTGACGATGTTGTGAATAGAATTAAAAATATTAAGGCACTAATTGCACATAATATGTATGTACGAAGTCTCAAGAATGAAAGAACACAGGAGGGGGTGTAAGTATTACTGTGAAATGCATTACGGTTTCTTTGAAAAATAATGCATTGTCATATCGGGCGGTGGGGAAAAACCGAAATATGAGAAAATATGGATCATGCTTTGATTACTCCTTATGTTTGAATACCATGTTAAGGAGTTCTCTTCTTTACACTTCCAACTTTTGGAAAATTTGAACCCTCACCATGGCTATAAAAATTGTAGTGTTTGCTTTGGCGCCTCTCAGCTGCCCAGATAAGGGTCAAATGCTGAAGAATTTCATCCAACATCCCTTTTAACTACAAATATTTCCTCTTTTTTAGTTGGAGACATCCTTGTTTCCATTTGGCAGATATCTGCAGAAGGGGGGGCACAGCCATATGCGCGCATCTACATACAAACGTGTTTGTGGCATCCCCCCATTTGTTTTCAATCCGTTTAGGTTAATTTCGCTTCAGCTCAGCGGATTTATTTTTAAGTTTTTTTTTTTTTTTTCTCAAGCAAAAACTTCTCGCATTTGCTAAGTTTAAAAAATGGAATTTACTAAAAAAACAAGTTTGATAATTCATGCAACAGTGTTCACATTGCATGACTATAGAAAGGGGAACATTTGTCTGAATCATTAAAAAATGGCGAAAAAATAGAATGTCAATTTAAAGAGTAGTGTGTAAGATATAACGCAACATTTAAAGGGCTACAAATGTACTTTTGGCGAAACGGTTGTAAATTTAATGCGCCACCAGATATGTGCATCTCGCATAAAAATGTATTTATGCGCGTTAATGTATCAGCATTAAATTTTTCTTGAAATTTCATATTCCTTTGAAATGTATTCTTTTTTGGAGCGTCTTATCTGATCCATTTTAAATTTTCTTCCCCGCCTTGGTCGACACGATTGGGGACAGCTTCTGGTTCTGTTCTTTGTAAACGCCGTTGTATTGCGCTCGTGCCGTCATTTGTGATTCCTTGAATATCATATAATAATGGTAGAAACTTCCATCGGGTTAGCAAAAACTGTCTTTGAGGTGTAGACTTGTACTGCCGGCGCCGACACAGCTGCTGATACGGGTACAACGGCTGGTACAGACAGTACTGCTGATACGGGTACAACTGCCGGTACAGACACAACTCCTGTCGATGCAGTAACAATTGTTGGTGTGGATGGGGTCTGAATTGTGTAAATCTTCGATGTTGCAATCACGGGTACAGACACGCACGACCTGTAAACCACCGCGGAATTGGGAACATAAACGATAGACATCTTTACGAAGGGGGGTATGCTAAGGATTAAAAAATTTCTATCACAAGCGGCGCAACTGCTGTTATTTGTGGTCCGTAGAAGGCGTTGAAAAATTGGGAAATCTTCGGTGTGCTCAAAAATGGTTTGTTGGACTCGTCCGGATCGATACTATAGAAATTGTTGGAGAAAAAAGTTCTAAAGAATAAAATAATGTAAAGAAATATTGCTCAAAAATTAAATGTAAACAAAGGAAAACAATAAGAAAAACAAGATGGAACAAAAATGAAGTTAAAAACTGTCTACATTTTTTCGTGAATTATTTAATTTTTTAGCTAGCTATTCTTTAAAATTGTAAAAAAAAAAAAAAAATAGCTTTATAACTTTTTTCGTGAGCAAAAGGATATTATTTTTGTCTCGTTCTAATGACAGCTTTTCAACAACGGCATAATTGTGCTCGAAAAGTGACATGTACTTTTGACAGCTATATTTGTTACATGATTTCCCGTATTTCTCTGCTTTCCTGCGTGCAAATAGGTAGGTAGCTTTTTTTTTTTTTTTCAGAAAGTAGCAAAAATTGGCTAGCAACATATAGCGAGATGTTTTTTTTTTGGCAAATATACCTATTAATACGGAAAATTGCAGAAAAAAAAAATTATTAACGAGCAGGGTAATTTTGTTAGTTTTAATTTTTTTTTTCTTGTCCTGCTTGTTCATGCCACCGCGTATCGCTGAACTGGGAAGGTCATTGCCAAGAAATTTTAAGCTAAAAATTTTATAACCACTTGGGCCAAAACTCACTTGTGATATTGTTGCAAAATTGACCAGCGCAGAACAAGCTAGGTTTAAAAAACACACACAAGTGGTTTGTCTAGGGCCAAAGAGAAAAAAGCTTAGATTCGGAATTAAATTTTTTATAATCTAGCATGTTAGTTGATTCTTAAAATGGGGAGAGTAAAAAAATTCAATAAAACTCCATGATATATATAAGCATGTTTACACGTAAAAAAGAAAGCACACAAACGCTCATAAGTGCAAAGAGCAAAAACGAAAAAACTGAAAGGAATGCAAAGTAAGGAGGCATGCACATACAACATGTTTTTCGAAGATGTCGTGGAAGGAAATCCATTTCGAAAAGCACGCCACGGATAATTCAATAATAAAATTTTCTTTTTTTTTATATGTAAACATATTAGTAAACGAAAAAATATAAGAAATTTTTATGGTCCCCTCTCAAATTGTTTTTCCTCTCCAATAATAGACATCTCGAAAGTTATTTCATTAGTTCTCCATATAATGTTTCCTGAATATTTTTTCTCTACCCCTTGATACTATTTCCAAATGGTTAATATCCCTTCTTAACACTAATGAAATGTTCATACTTGAGTAACACTCTTTTGTGGACGTGCATAAAGACAAAATTCATCGCCAAGTGCCTACTCCTATTCCGCTTCATTAAATTTCTCTTCATCTTTCCCAACATCCATCAGATGTCCACATCGAATTTTAAAGGATAACTGTCGTTACGGGGGAGGCGTACGCGTAGCTAAGACATACTTGTCGGGAAGGGATAACTTGAATATTTTTAATAATCGGTATGGTCTGTGGAACCGTGTACACAACTGTTTGTGGCACAACACTGTACGTAGTTGTGTAAACAACTGGTGCAGGCTGCACCGTCACCACGGGGGATATCACTGTTGCGAACATTTTCTAAAAGGGGAGAAAATACACATAAAAAAGGTACATGTGAATTGGCGTTGCGTACATCTGCGTGTAATGTTAATACATGAGAAGTTGTTGGATAAGCGGCAATAGCACAACGTAGTGATTTTTACGCGGATTAGAGGCATACATACATATATCTGTTTTTTTTTGTTTTTTTTTTTTCTCATCCTTCTGCTGCTCCCTCGATGAATGCCTTACTTAAATAAAGGAACAGTATATTATTATCAGGGCAAACTAAAATTTGGCAAAAAATATATGAGCTATTTTGAAAAAGATCTTCTCAGTGTGATGAGGTATCACATTTTTTTAAAAAATGACAATTTCGCAGGGGCTATGTAGAAATTGCAGTAATGCATAATTATCATGCCTATAAAGTTTGAAAGAGAAAAATGAGATGAAGTTCCTTTGTTTTGTGAAGGGGGGAATGGCTGATGGGCAGCTTTCAAAATGAAAATTGCGCCTTCGCACGACAAAATCGAGGTCGCAAAAGGGTACACGCGAGTGAATATGCATATGTATGTATTTACATACACGAACGTGTCTACACCTTTGCTACAAAGCGGGCTCATGGTGTTTTCCAATGGACAGTTGTCAGCAATATTCAATTTTTGTGAATTAACTTCCGAAGTTGCAATTTAACTGGAATTGATGTTGTCTTCGCAATTTATATGTGGGGCTAACAAATTGTTACATAAACAGGTGTTTATAAATTTACATAATTATATAATTGTGCGTTTATACACTTACATACGTGTGTGTCAGAATTGTACATCCCATTTTCATGGCTTCACGTGATTTATATAGACATGCAAATGCACAGATGTCCGTGTCACATCCGTAAATCTGTTCGTCCTTTAAATTTCACTATTTTTTTTTTTTT